GAAGAATGGTAAAAGATTTAGAAACCATTGCCTCCAAAGAAAAGTCTACGATGTTTAGCCGAAAGAAAAAAAAGTAAATTACATTAATAAAAACAGTATTTCAATACATAAGATTGTTACAGCAAAACTAGCAACAAGTTGCTTCAAAAGACAACAGAAGGAAGTACCAGAAATTTGTCTAGTACAGACTGAGATGATTTAAGTCAGATACTACCTTATGAACTGTAAAAACTATTAAAGCAACTGGAACTAACCACATAAGGATTGTTATCAAGTTTCCACTATTAGATGAAATATGTTCTGCCAAGTCTGGATACATTCAGTCACTGTACATTCAGTCACTGTTTCACTTTACAGAGTTCAGTAGCAGTTATCTTTTATGCTATTCCCTGTAACCTCACACTCCTTCTTCCTTTGTGCTACTTTAACATACCCTCAGTCCAACTTGGTCATGCCACAAACATAACTTAGAAGTTGACCACCTTAAAAAGAACACATCTGTTTTCAAAAGCTGTGGGACTTCTCTCGATTTTGGTGTGAAGAACCTGTTCATTTTCAACCTAGAGGATTTTTCAGGATTCAACAACCCTGCAAAGTTGTTCAACCAGTAGACTAGAGGTGATGAGGAGCAGCAGGAATAGTCAAAGCCTGTATTACCAAACATGGTACTGTAGAATGACTACCTTAGTAAACAGCTAGGACAACATGAGGATCTTCTTTTTTGAGGATTTCTTGGGGAAATCAGTTGCTTTTTCGGACCTTTCTTTGACAGCACCTCAAATCACATGTGCTGTCAACTCTTATGCCCACAACCCATGATACTATACAAATAGAAGTGTGTTTGTTGTACTTTTTATGGCAATTTGCATGAACAGTAAGAGTTACAAAGAAAAATGCATACATACTGTGTGTTCATAATATGCTTATTACTATTCTAGCATTGTTCTTGAATAATTTCAGGAAATGAACACAAAAAACGATACATCTTAAAAAGGACCCTGTTCTGGTCTTTGGACTTTGTGTTGGTTGTATCTAACAAAATTCTTTAAAGGGAAAATATGCTAGGACAGAGTTATGTAAAAGATCACATTTTTTGTGATCTTCTCTTCTGCTCTCATGCACTCATCTTTTTCAAAAGCAAGACAGCAGTAGGTCCAAAGTGAAGCTATGTGCAATGTTTTCCCCAGGCAGCAGGGAAATGTCTACTCCCAACATAGATGTATGTTCCCACACTTCAATAGACTAACCCAAAGTATTGGGTGAACTCAACCACTGGCAGGGCCATGTTATAAAACAGATCCTTGAAGCAATCCAAGTTAAGGATAACTGAAAAACAAACAAACAAACAAAACAAAAACAACAAAACAAAACAAAACAAAAAAAACACAACAACAAAAAACCACACAGCATGAGAGTGGAAGTCCTGAGTGCTGTGTTGCTGGATGATTTTTTTAGTTCAGTGATCTGTTTTATAAAGCAGTCCAGCAAATAGTTGTATCAGCACAATTAAAGGAATAGGGAACTGCAGCGGGGGATCAGAAAGGAACTCAATCAATTTTAACCCATGTTTATTCAAATCACATTTGATTCACCCTGGATTAGGCTGACCTCTAAACCCCATAGCAAACCCACAGCCCACAAACAACTGCAGGGATTTCTCCTCTGATATATTTGTGCTCAGTAGAGGCCCTAGGTACACAGCTGACTAAATACAGGCTGAAAGGCCTGTGTGGGAGAGTTACTCACGCATGAGCTTCTTATAGTAACTAACTCTCTCCCACACTGTGCACTGCATGTAGTTAATACCTATATGGATATCAAAAAAATTTGATGTGCAAGAGAGCTGATTTGCCTTTCGAAAACATTAACTTTGATGCTCCCTTCTTAAAATACGAAGAATGAGATATTGCATTAAGTCTGACATTTAATCGCATTCCTGGGAAAAAAAAGAAACAAAAAGGAAGAGCAGAGAGTTAAGAATGCAGAAAAACGTGACATAGTATGTAAATATAGCAGAAGCACTGGTATAGCATTATACAAAGTGGGTGCCATTAGAGAGGAATTATAAAATAACTCATTCTAAATGAAGAACAAATACTAAAGGAATGTACACATCCATATACCAGCTGTCTTACTGTTGGGGGCTGGGGGGAACTATTGAACCAAGAACTGAAGACAAGAACAAATGTTTTTTTGTATCTAACTAATGAAGTGAACACAGCCAGTGAAGAGGCCCTCCCGTGTTGATAGTTTATGCACTGCATTTTCTCCTCAATCATTGATTTCACTTGTCTTTTCTATCCCCTCACCTGCCCAAAAACATGCACAAGTGAGAACAGGCTAGTAGGGCGAAGAAATGAACAGCTCTTACTCAGAAGCTGCAAAGGCATGGTAAGGAAGCAGTCTCTTGTCCACATCTAGATCAAGTAACATCCTAATGAAAGAGGCTCATAGGTAACCTGTCCCTTGAGAAAGACCAGTGAACTTGGCTATACCATTATGTATTCATTTATAATTAGTTTTCATAAATATACACTATAGCTATTTTAATACCAAGAATTAAAATTCTACATTGGAATTACGAATTTTACATTACTTAGACATGAAGCGTACACACCCTCTTCAAACATTGTATCACATATTAGGAATTAATTCAATACCTATTATTACTATGTATAACCTGAAGAGACAGAATAAGACAGTTGAAATCCCATTAAGAGTATCAGAATAAGAAGCATAATTAGCTAACGAGAAGCTGAAGTTGCAGTTTAGCACATTAGTCCAAATATAAAAAAAATTTAAGAGAGACAATATTACATGGCATTTCAGGTTTTCATGGTTCTGCATTCCTATAAGACAAATTCTTGACCATTGCTAAAATTTCACAATACCTTCTAGATAACAGACAGGAAACTGAAAGCTTAATTAATTAATCTCAAGAGCATGCAACGCAGCTATGGAAAGAACATGGTATTAACTAAGGCCTGACAATCTGCACTAGGTTTCTAAGTTTCCAGAAATTCACAGTAACAATTTTCCCATCTTGGCTTTCAAACTTAAGGAAAAGGTCTTGCATTAGTATGTTTGTTTTTATTCACAGTGTTTATTTCTGCTGTACAAATAAATACTACATATATAGTAACAGTAATGCAAAAAGGATGAAAGTGACAAAGTAAGAATAGCTTTACATCCATTATCAGTCATATTACAAGTATATTCACTATCAACAGTAAAATGTAACTATATTGCAATAAATCAAAATCCAACTTAAAAGCTTGGCTGTATTCTCAGTTCTCAAAGTCACCACAAACTTTTAACATTACTCACGGGGCCATATTATTTATATTAACACCCCCAACATTATCAGATATATCTTCAGACAGATAACCTGAAGCCATGAAAATTAAAGCCATATCAGACTCAGGAGCTTTAAACACAGGTATTTCTGGCCTTTAATGACTCCTGTATGAGGAAGAAATGTAACACTGGCTTTTCCTCCCCATAAACAGAAGAGTTAGCATTGCCAAGGATAATGCTGCTCCCTACGAAGCACCTACAGCCAAAATACAGTAGGCTGCCTGTTATGCTATGTTATGGATCAAATATACAAGATTAAGGCCATTAAGCTCTGTCAGCAAGACAGAATATTCTATTTCAAGGATAAAAACCAGCATGATCAAGCAACAAGAGGTCTATTAGAGAATATCTGACAGCTCTGGATTTTGCCCAAAATCTTCCACAGCGAAACAGAGATTTGTGCAATCGCCAAATTGGTTAAGACACAACATAATTTCAGTCAGTTTTTTCATTATGTACATTCACCATCAAATCAGAAGTAAACAATTCCTTAAGAAGCAGGTAATAAGAAATTAATCATATAGAATTAAATGACTTATGGTATGACCTAAAAAATGGAGGGTCTACTAGTAGGATATTTTGTTTCAAGTTGTCAGTATTTCTCATTTCTAGCTCTTCAATCAAGCATAGCTAAAACTAGCAGTGTCCCCGCCAATAAAAACCTATTAATTTCAGCCTAATGCCCAGTAAAAGCAATTAATTTCAGAATACACAATTGCAACAGAATTTTTCTATGCCAAATACAGCAACATGGTTTTGCACTCTGCAAAAGCAGCAAAATGACTGCTAATAACCAGTAACTTGGCATTGAGAAAGAACAGAAAGAAGAGCATAGGAGCAAGGAGAAAAACATAAGAATTAAATATATCACCTTTTATGCAACTAGTTTTAAACTTGCTAAACATATATACCAAATCTCAAAAGACAGTTGAAGGAAAATCTGCTCTGTCCATCTTCAGGGTTTGTGGTTAGAAAACACTAAGGGCAGGAGGCTATGTTTTTTAGGCTTGTGTTTGTTTTATTCTAATTGAAGCTTCAGTTTAAGGTAAAGCCAATTGGAAAAACTGATTAGCTCTGTGTGGGATGGGCAGAACTACCATGCTATATATTGGTTAATTAAAAAAAAAAAAAAAAAAAGGCAGTAGCTAAAAATTTCTGCACAGTTGGCTACTGGCAAGTTACAGAGACCGAGCAGGAGAAAGTACTTTATTCTGCAGGATAACAGAGAAAAAACCCAACCAAACAAACCAAAAAACCAAACAGAACAGCTTAATTGGAGAACATGGTTTCACATTTAGGAACAAATCTATTTTGTTTATGCAAATTGCACTTAAGTATCAGAGAGGGGGTGGTACAGAGGTGGCTGACAGCATTAATTTTAGGCAGAGTAAACCATCTATTTTATTGCATTATATAAGGTTTGGCTGCAGAGCCCATTAAAGTCAACTGACTCTTCATTTAGTTGAATAGTCTTCGAATTTGACCCAGAATTTAAACAGCATGACTACTTGCTTTGTAAGCACAAGGTCTGAAAAAATCCAGTTTGCAGATGAGATTTCCTATGTCGGAGTTGAACCACACTGACAAAATAAATGACTCTGCAGTTACATCTCTTTTCTTGCAGAAAACATTCTCACTCTTACCTGCACATTTTCTTCTGTAACTTGAATTTCAGCAGTGTAAATATAATCAATAAGCATCCTTAGAGTCCAGCCATCGACTTCCTTTATTCGAACTTTTTTTGCTCGGCTTTCACTCATCTCACCTACAAAAAACAATTTATTGGTCAAGTAAATTAGACAGAAATACAGCACAGATGTAGAAGTTTAATAGCAGCAGACATTTTGTTTATGATCAGTTGTAATAGTAGAACAACTTTAATAATAATAATAATAATTTAATTTCTTTCCTTCCTTCCTTCCTGCAACGAGAAAGGAAGACTTTGTTGTTACCATCATGTGAATGCTACCTGGGTTGATACTTTTATTGCAGGTGACCTATTTTCTCCAATGTACAGTATCAGGAAAATATTGTTATCAGCCCTAAATAAGACTCTTCAAATGCATACAGAAACATTTTGCTGGCAAAGCAAGCTGGTAAAATACTCTAGTTTTATTAACTTCTTAATTGAAGGAGAATACCAAACACAGTTTGGAGTAATTTTATTTAAATAAGAAAAATTATGTTCCCACAGAAGAATTAACATAACACATTTCTTTGCTTGCCTACTTATTATTCTCTTAGCAATTTCACATCTTTTACAGATATGATTTAACAGCTAAAACTCAAGCTAAGATAAAATGGTAAGCATACAAAAACTTGTTGGATCTCATTTTGTGGAGGCTGACATGTTGGACATATGCCACAACTGATCTTCATAGAAAGACCTGCAAAATCGTTTCCACCTTCCAAAATATGATGTTTCTCAAAATGCAACATTTTCTTTATGTCTCAAATAATTGTTCAAAGATTATAAGCTTCTTCATGATTTCCAACCACGCATTTGGTCATCTCAGACCTTTAAACCGTTCTGCAACGACTTGCACCGAGAAGCAAAACATGAACTACACCAGATATGCTGGAAGATAGATAAACTTGGACTTTGGAAAAGTATATCCCAGTCTCTGAATACATTAATTTATTATTCTTCTATGTTGGATATTATTTCTTTCCCTTAGGCATAGGCATCTAGAGATAAGGGTATTGATGATATAATAAATTTAATGTATGCAACAACAAAAGCAGGCAGGATGGAGAAGTGAACAAGAACATGCTAATCATTGCTGATATTTTCTTATGAAGTACATACACATTTTCATTGTTTGTTACCCTTTGGTCTCTAGGGTTGGTACCAAGCAATGCATTTTACCAAGTGCTTTCAGCAAAGGGGTCATCACTGAAAAATCTGTTACCACTATTCATGCCTTTTTTTGAGCTGAGGGGTTTGTAAATCAACCCTTTAAGTGGTAGAAAGTTCGGAAGACCATCTACAGCAACACATTAATGGCAATATAGGTTGCTAGCATTCTAGAAAACACTGATGAAGGCCCATGTCAAAACCAGCAAAATCCAGTCTCAACAGAAATTTCTCTTTTCACCTGCTCTTCTGAAACATTTCCCTACACCTTAGCAGATTCCCTGAAGGGTCCTGTATTCCAAGTTTCTACTTCTAGTTTGACACAGATTAAACCCCTTGATCTTCAGAGCGTGTATGCTGCAAGTTATTTATTATGCAAGCTTCTGTGGAGGTGGTCCTTTGGGAAAATTGTGTGTGTGGGAGAGCAGATTTTGGTATTCTGCAAGCACATTAGGTTTGTTTTCAGATTTTGTGTCAAGTCTTTTAGAGTCATGGATAGGCACCTTCTCTGTTTAACAACGGAGCTCAGAATATTTAAAAAAACCCCACAAAAAACAACAATGAAAAAATCCACACACAAGCAAACAAATGAAAAAAAACCCCAACAGGTAAGATAAATCCAAAATACTTGCTCCTAACTTTCATGCTAAACAGACATGCAGTCTTACTATAATGCTAGATCAACCATACTTTTTTTGATAGATCATATGCACTCACTAGGCAGTCTCACCCTGGAATTCAACCTGCTGAAGAACTCAGTTCATGACTAGAAAGTTGCACCACCATATCTCCACAGATTTCTTAGTGACAGGAAAGCATATCATGAACAGAAATAAAAGCACTGAGCTAATCCAACCACCCGAGCAGGAGCAGCAATGCACCAGTTGACTTGAAGATACTAAAGGGGCTAACTAAAAAACTTATATGGTTCCTCACAAAGTAATGCAAGGCAGGGTTTTGGGTGGGTTTTTTGTTTGTTTGTTTGTTTTGTTAAACAAGAATTTTATAAATGGAGAATGGAAGCTAAGAGAGCAGGTAATTCTCTAAGGATAACTGTTATTGAGGAAGAGAAAATTAAACTCAGGTCACTCTTGTCCCAAGTCAGGCCCTACTACCATTCAAGAATCCCTTCTCTGATGTTTTATAATCCATTCCTCTAAACATTTAAGTATACTTAAATCATATTTCTAAATAATTCCACTGTATAAGAAGAAAGAAACATTTCCAGTAACATACTCCCAGCTGTTTAATCTTTCTTCCCCCTACCTCTCCATAGGATAATTGGGTTTGTAACTTTGAAAGGCAATGCAGTAACTTTTTCTTTCTTTCTGGATATTCATTAGGGCTACCACTGCAAGTGCAAATTGGGGGTGGGGGGGAACAACAAAAAAACCAAGCAGAGGGTTTGAACGCAGCTAATGCCACGTCCCGTGTTACACCAAAGTAGTTCTTAATGACTCTGAGAAAGATGGAAGCAACCTGCAAACATATGCCTAAATATAATCTTCTAATTTCTAGTCAAGAAGTAACCTTAAAGCATAAGAGTGCAACTTTTTTTACTGTCTTTTTAGTCACTGTTTTATTCTGCATGGAAGAAGATACTTTTCCATTTGGTTGTGGCTGGTTAAGGGATCAAACTTGCTTATTTGAATTTGCTGGATAAGAATAAAAATCCACCTGAGAAGTGTGAATTGCAAGGTCCATGGAGATAATTATAATGAATTTCAGGATTTTTTTGTGTGGGCAATGGCTGAAATGCACCAATATCACAGCTGGGCCTTTCTGTAAGCAACCTATAAGCATAGTATAAAATCCATTGATAAATCTTGAAGCCACAGCTGAATTTTATTTAAACTCCAGTTTGGTTCACCATCTACACAAACACTGCCACAAAAATATGTATTAAACACTTCACACCCATTACTCAGGTAAGCATTCCCACCTCCCACACCACTGGGGGTCAAAGATCACCTACACTTAAAAATATTAAACAAGCAAAAAATGTTAAAAGGGATTGAAGCAAGGAAAGGGAAGATTTCAGCAATTCTGTTTCGAGAGCAACCACAAATACTGCTGCACTGGCACTCTGAATAGGTAATAAACTTTTTCACAGAAAGGGCAGTGAGGGCATGCAGAAATGTCTTAATCATAGAAAGGATAATAAAAAGCTCTACTCAGAGAAAAGAGTATTTTCAATGTGATAGTCAACAACAGTTAATCTTCGATATAGAACTAATATAAGAAGCTTGCATTTCTCTGTTACTAAGGTGATAAAAAGGAACTGTAGAAGCATCTGTTTTCTTTCTAACTTTAAGACCAGTAGTGAAAATCAAGAAAGAATGTATCAGTCTCTACCACAAATGCAAATGTGAAGAACTACTAGCAGAATAGATATTTAATTTTAAATGCAACTTTAAAGCATTGCTGTAGAAGTGATTCCACTTCTAGCTTTGGTTATGTCAAAATATTTGCATATAAGATCAAGAATAATCAACTGCTTCCCCAGTACACAACAGTATTTGAAAAGTCATCAATCTTCCAGTCACATACAAATAAAGTTATTAAAATGCCATCTGCTTGCATACAGGCAGGCCAGGAGTCACATTTCTGCCTCCATCTGAGCTGGTTGTCAGAAGCAATGCATTACATTTAATTTCAGACAGTCAACTACAAAGCTGGCATGAGATTTGAGGAAGAACAGACAAAACCTCAGAAGTTAATTTTAACATGCATTTAGTAGCATTCTCACTTTAACACTGAATTTCACATTATTTCAATGTGATTTATAACCATTATGGAATTAAAGCCACAGCACAGGATTTAAGCTGGAGGCTCCTGTGAACCTGAACCTATCTTAGCCTTGCAAGTCCTCAGCATCCCTGCTGTAGCAGTAAAGCCGTAACATGGCCAGCGTGGAGCGAGCAGAGGCAGAATCAAGCATGCACAGAAAAGTTGTGGCAATGATGCAGAGTACATGTGTCATGGAGAATTACCCTAAAAATACTGAAACGCGCACTCCAACTATAGGCTGCCAAAACCACAGGAAGTTTTCATATCTACTAACAGCCTAGAGCATTCAGGGTCTGAAGAACATAGCAGCAGTAGTTGTTAAAGGACATAATTTACTCCAACATTTACATGAAAGTTATTTTAACCTTCTTTTGGACAAGTGAGATTACTAGAGCCTTAAAGGGTATAACAACTCTACTATTCCTTGCTTACTTAACATCTAATTTTTTTTAAATTATGGAGATTTTTTAAAGCATTCGTCATGCTAACAAAGAATAAGTTGCCAGTATGTCCTTAGACTGAAAAATTCATTAAGAATCCCAAATGTTCCTGCAGGCTTATCTAAAAACTAAACAGATCCTAAAAAGCAAAAGTCATGTAATTTTCTGCTTTATACAGTTGGATTGGATTAGAAGAAGTAAGTAAGTATTGAAACATTTGGTACCTGTAAACATGGCATGGAAGTAGGGGCTGCAGGCGGCTAACACAACTCTATGCGCTGCAATTTCCATGTCTTCAGCTACTATCGTCACATCACACAGCAAGTTTTGACTATTTAGAAATATCAGAGAAGGTAATTTCACATAAGTGAACTACAACAGAAGAGTATATAATATCACATACAATTTGTTTTCCCATGCCCTCAAAAGAGGCAGACAATGTTGATGAAGCATTGTTTGTAAATGTGTTACACAACCACATGGCTATTACTCAATTAGATTACAGATGGTGCTTGGGTACACAGAACTTTTAAAAAAAAAAAAATTCAAACAACTGAATTGTGATTCCTTGCACAGAAATCTTCTGGATTGAATAACCATAATTTGTATCAGTACAGTTTAGAAACCTTCTCTCTGGAAGGCTGGACCTCTTTGAATAACTATGATAGAAAAAAAGAATTTAATAAACACAAACACTAAAAAGAACAATGAGGTAAGAAACAAGACCTTATAGACAACAAAGAATCCAAAGTTCAATTGTGATGCCTGTGTCACATTACTTGGAAGCTCATGCCTACTTAATTGTTCAAAATCGCTACTCCATCTTCTCTGTATTTACTGTTTTCCAAGCATTTTTCATACCCAGCCTATGCACAAAATAACAACTATTTTTTCTACTCTGAGCAGTTTAGAATTTATTATGGTTAATTTCATATCTTGCCTGAGTTTGTATCTTCATTTGCATTTTTGTCCTTTGTAACTGTAATACATAATTCCTCTCTGTTGCAATAAAGTAACATCTTATTTATAATCATTCCTAACACTGCTGTTTGCAATGCAGTTTACAGCTATTGGCTAAACCTCTTCCAGTTAAACCTACAACACCATATACTCTTTGTATTGCAATTTTCTAGATTGAAAGAGGAGGGGGGGAAGAAAAAAAAGAAAGAAAACACATCAACACCAAAAGGCTGCAATTTCCCAGCATCTGAATAGCCATAGTCACAATTGCCTTTTATTTCCTGCTTATGCTACTACTGTCCCTGTGGAAGCAGTATACAATCCCCAAAACTTAGAGCCACTGCAACAGACAGAAGAGGGAAGAGTCTGATTTAACAGAACATATTCCTTAGGGATGGAGCTAGAGCTGTATATCAATCCACTGAACTCTATTCTCAGTACTTTCAAAAAGATAAATTTTTACCTTTCCTGAATATATATTACAATTAGAGTGTAGACTTTTAGAGAGTTTGCAACTACCACACTGAGTTGTAGCAAAGACAGGTGAGCAGTTGCATTTTCTTCAGACAGAGCTAAAGCTGTCAGCCAAACTGTTCAGACATTCATTAAGTCCAAAGAAAACTGTGATCTCTCAGCCTCTGCAATCATCCTATTTCTATAAGCCCAGACTCAAGTAAGGTGAGGTCACACACCAAAAATTTTGGTGGCCATGACTAACCTTTGGTGTCATATTACAATCCTGGCACAACATTATCTTTCCCCTTTCAGCTCTTAACACCTACAGCAACTATCTAAATCTCGTAAGTTTACTCTGCAATAGCATTATTATCAAAAAAGATGTACAACATAAGTAACGACCATACCTAGATGAAACGCTCAATTCAGAGGATCCTGAAAACAACCATTACATTTATTATAAAAAAATTGAAACAGAAAGCTGCACATAAAAAGGCTTCAGATACTCAGCATTATCAGACATCTGCACTTATCCTGACAACAGGAACAAAAGGTTTTATACTTAGTAGCACAGAAATACCAAAGTTAACAATAAAGCCAGGAGCAAGAGAATTATATCAATGCAAAACTCAGGCTAACTAATTACACTGTGCATATATAGACATAGTAACTTAGAGGTAGTTCAGATACATCTCTAGTCTGGAACTGCATTAGACGAATGAATATACTCTGCATCACTACAAAGCTGGGAAGCTAAATAATCTACTAAAGAAATGAGCTTATAAACTTAATCATGTACTCTGCTGTAAGCAACTCATGAAACTCAGAAGCCTCATTTCATGAGGGCACATCAATTTATTGCAGAAAAGCTTGTTCTGAAGTGATATTGCACTAATTTGCTTGTATAGAGTGAATGAAAGAACAGAACTGTGGGGAATACACCATTCATGGTAAAGAAAATGAGAAATGGGGGGCAAGAAAGCATACATTTAAGAAGAATAACTGCTTACCAGCTTACAGGCTATTCTTCATTGGTTCATATAGAGAAAGTTCATTACCCACATCTTCAAAAGGTTTTGGTAAAGTCTTGTTTGTAAAAATGAGGATTTTAACAAATGTAGGTAAGGTCAAATTCCATTGTGATAAAAGCAAATTATAATGAAGTGAAAAGATAAACATCAGAGAGTAATTTCTTAGTATGTCAAGAACTAATTAACTATCCTTATGAGCTCTCTGAGGTGATGGTGAACAATGAAATGACAAAAACTAGAAAGGACAAAATTACTCAAATTTGTCACAATTTGAAGGCACAGAAAAACTTACTTATGACCTACTAGAGCCAGCCACCTTGACAGCAGCCAAAAACTTAATATAAACATATAGACTTGAGCATTCAAAACCAAATGTATTTTAGATGCTTAAACAAATTATTTTTTCACAATTTATCCACTTCCTGCAGAGTATACCTCTGGCAAATACCTGTTTGTGCTACGCTAATAAAAAGAACTGAGATAGAAACCACTTTAAAAACGTATTCAAAATCAAAAATATCATTTACTTGATTCATATTAGATCTTCTTTTTGAGTAATGAAGTCTGAAACATTTCTAAAATATTTCAGTTTATTATTTCAAATGAATGCAAATAGGAATGTTTATAATCTTATCTAATTACCACTTACTTTAAAAGCTGTACTCAGCTTAAATTATAAACATTGCTGCATCAACTACTTTATTAAATAAGAACTAGTTAACGTTTGCATAGCATTGCTCCTGTTCCAACTTCATTTATACATGTAAGACAAAATTGCTCAAATTGCTTCTACAAGCAATTTGAATTTAAGTAACCATGGAAACTAAAGTATGTTCTGAAAATAATCCATGGCCTTCAACAATGCACTCTGCCGGAAGACCACATATCTTTTACTTGCAACACAACAAAACACAGGTAAGGTTTCTGACTTCTGAAACTACTGTTAACATTCATTCTGGAAAACTTTCGCCATTTAAACTCTTGCTCATCCTTAGGGAGTCATTGCTGCTGGCTCTAGCCAGGCTCTATAATGTTCCTTGAGACACTGAATCTGGTTACTGGGATACGTGAAAAAGCAAAGGGCATATGTAGGTGAAGCAACAAGTGTCAGTCTATCCAGCACACAGTATTAAGGATTTCCCTATAAGGAACAGTGAAGACCAAAGGCAGACACATATTTTAAGTGGGTATAACTTGCTGTGTTTCTTTCAGGTGAAGCCTCTCCAGTTTTTAATCTTATACAGGAAATAACAAAGAACTACGAGATTTTCACAGCCTCCAGTATTGTCTATACTAAAGAAGCATTTTAGTTTTTTAATTTTTCCATTCCTGCTGTTAGTTACAAAACTGAATTACTGTAAGTGATAGTTGTAGGTCCTGATTTCCAGAGCTCTACCTACCAGCTGTCACAGTTTTCAACATCATTTTACCTACTCATATGTAGAATATAAATCAATACGGATGCTATGAACAGCATCAGCACCAGCCTCCCAGTTTTGCTGAAAATGATGGTAGTATCACTCAAGGTCTTACAAAACTTTATTGAGAAAAATTACTTTCAACATTTGATTTGAGAGTTCCTGAATTTCTCCCAGAGGGCAAGCAAAAGATAACTAAGAAAGAAAATGTACTGACAGTTGGTTTATATTTGTTAAGACTGTGACCTATGTCTCTTAAGACTAGAAAATTTTAAGATTTTTCCAGTTTGTAGCCTACCACAAAAATCAACAAGAGGCACAAAAAGAGCCTTAGACTCAACTAAAGAGTCACTTTTCATCTATGCAGGATCAACTACACACGAGACAAAACCAGTAGCTGTAACTCCTTAAATACAAGCCCTAAGTATTTTTTAAGTCTCACAAAATTAGTTTTGATTAACTTATGAGGGGCAAAAACATACTGCACACATTATAGCTATCATCACACAACTATCATTCAGCTATCACTTCATTGTATGTTTAATCCTTCTCTTAATTAGATCGGCTACAGTTCTGAAATTGCATGTTCTTATTGAACAAACTATTATTATCAACTTAATAAATGCAAATGAAAGTAAAAATGTATTATGGACTCCAGGCAGATGTATACAGTGAAATAATACCTTCTTAATTCATTCATAATTTTAAAAGCTTTCTTCATGTGCCATGGATTTACTGTAACAGGACAGTGAATTTCGGTGTTATCATCTTTCAGATCCAAAGGCTTCTGATGGCAAAGTTTGGTACAACTGGAAAGAAAGAGGAAAAAAAAAAGAATTAATACTTCTGTCTAATCTCTAGTTCTGTCACCTCTTATTTTCTCCACCTTCATCTTGGGGAGAAGATTTGCACTTGAAACCTATTCTTTACTCCAAGCAATTTTGGTTTCCTTATTACCAGAAGTGTGGAGGAGTAGGTAGAATTGCCGTGGAAGCAATAAGTTGGTGACCAACACTAGTGAGGTTGACAAGAGGCACTCAGGGCTAATAACAACCTCCACTACAGAAAACATGAAGATATTTTCTGGGTTTGTGAATATTATTTTATTCCATGGAAAAATATTCTAGAATACTTCCAATGAGCCCTGAAGTAAGGGGAGAAGCAGAGTTTGGGGAATTTTTAGCCTGATGGCCGTACAGATCAAAGGTAGAATGCAGCATCTATCACCTTTGTCTCTCCATGCCTTCACTGCCTGTCAGAAGAGCTTCTCTCTGACCTTCCACCAGGACCTCAACTACTGGTTCACACTCCCAGTTCACCTCTGACAGGAAGACCACATGACAACTACTGTAGTTGCCCAGGCTTTCCCTAGCAGCAGCATGAGACAGAGGTGACTGAGAAAAATTGGGTTGTTTTGTAGAATCACTCAGTGTTTTGAAAAGCATAAGTGACCAACCTCTTAATTTTTCTTAAGCAGTGTGAAAAAATCATTACCTCTAGCTACAATTAATTCCTTCCATAAGAAATACTCAAGTTGTATAGACACTAGCTTCTACAGAAAAATTGTTATACACATTCCTCAGTCACTAGGACTATCCAAACAGCAAGTAGGTTTTTCAAGGCAAACCAAACCAATGAGTTTCCTGTTTAAAATCACAATGTTATTCTTACAAGGCAAACTGTGTTGTCACAGCACTTAGAAAATGCTTAGCATCAGCGATGTTTTCTTCCACACTATTGTAACTGTATTCCTGAACCTCTGAGCTGGAAATAAGCAAAGTCACTGAAGTCACTTGGTGGGGCTACCTGGTACATCAAAGATGTGATTTCAAAAGAAAATTCAACTTTGCTAGCTTTAGGTAAGCACAGTCAAACTGAACATACTCAATGACTCACATAATTGCAGCCTCTCTTCTACCATACCTCAAACTTTACTTGGGCATGTCTAAAGAAGCTTAAAAGAAAAATCCAATGATAATTTAAGAATTTAACCTAAAACTCTATATTCTGTTCACTACAGCAGTGCAAAGCCAAGCTATTTTTATTTTTCATTATTCCAAAACTAGCTACAAAATTTTGGAGCAGAACAACACAAAATTGCATCAAACAACAAAGAAATGGAAAAAGTCTCCATAAAACACTAGCTAACAAAATAAAATCCATCCACAGAACTTAAACTACTACCAACTTGCTACAGTGTACCATGAAACTGATATGAATTAAGAGTTTCACACTCAATTTTGAAAATTATACAAGTAATTACTGAAAGTGGACAAGTAATGGACAGGAATTTTGCATCAATCACAAAAAAAAAATCACGTTACATGCACATACATATGCTGCTGCACAGAGGTAAAAAAGAAAAAGACATCCTATCTAGCAAACTCCTTTAGACTGAATATTACTTCTCTACATTATGCAACATACATAGTGTTCAGCATTCAAAAATATTATAGAGAGAAATCAATGACTGCAGAAAATGCTCAAAACACCAAAGACCTATGAGGAAGGGACCCAGATTTTAATGATACCACTGACTTACCAATTCCAGGACAGAACACTTCTATGGCATCTTTTTACATCCCAAAGCAATGCATCAGATACTGATGTCTACCTATCTACATACATATACAGGCTACATACACATCGAACACAGCATGCAAGGAAAAAAAACAGTAATCACTGTTGTCAGGCAACTTGGATTAGACAGAGGAGTTCTCATGAAGCATAAATTAATTTGCTGAAGTTTCATTTGTTTGCCACAAAGGACAACTTTGTTTTAAGGTAATGAAGCCTACAAAACCATCAGTCATATGCTTTCTGTTTTGAGAACTACCAGTCTGCTTGAAGTTACTGGAGTATCTCTTACCATTTCACGAGTTGGGTCAAAGCTGTCCTTCGGTTTGTTCTCAAGAACCTGACCCACAGCGTGCCTGAAAACTACCTCCCGAAGGCATAGGATGAAGCTGCACTGAACAGCAGCGTGCCAAAGGCGATGAGCCCAGCTTAGATGCAGCTGGAGATACGTGCATTGCCTGGGCACTGCCACTAAAAAAGATGCTTAACTAAATAACCAGAAAACCGACTGCTGAGTCAAACTGGGAATAATTTGGGACCGCAGATGGAGGAAGCAGAAGGAGTGAGGGGGAGGAGGGGAAAAAAAAAAGCCCGCCTGTCCCTACAGGCTGGAAGGCACCCGGCGGGCGGCGGGGCGGGGGTGCGGGCAGCACTGCCCGCCCGCGGGTAGCCCAGTGCCCGCTCCCCCCAGAGGATGTCCCCGGCGCGGGCACCGCCGCGGCACAACGGGGCAGCTCCGAGCACGGGCGGCCACGCTGTTCGGGGAGCCCCGGCCCGCCGGGCACCGGGCACCGGCTCCGCCACCAGGTCGTCGATACGACGCCCCGCCGGCGCTGCGCCGCGGCTGGTTCCGAGCCCCCTCCCGCCCGGGAGCACCGCTCCCGCGGGGCCCGGGCAGCTCGGCGGGGCTGCGGAGCCGCGGAGGCTCTGCTCCTGCTCCGCGGCTGGGCCTGCCCCGCGCCCCCAGCCCGCCGACCGCATAGCGCTCCGCTCTGCTCCGCACCGCCGTCCCGGCGGGCGCCGGCACCCTCCCCGCCCGCCCCGCCGCCGCCGCACTCACACGGGCGGCAGCAGCATCTCCATCGCGGCTCCGCTCGGGCTTCCTCCGTGCAACGCGGGCGCGGCGTGCTGCCGCCAGCACCATGCCAGCTGCGCTGCCCCGCCACGGGTGCGGGGAGCGGTGCCCGGTGCCGGCTGCGCCCGCCCGGCCGAGCCACCACCACCGGAGCCGCCGCTTCCGGGGGCCCGCCCGCGGGAGGGCGCGGCGGGGACGGGCCGCTCCGCGCAGGCGCGGCGGGGGTGCCTGGCCCGGCCCGGGCGGGCGCTGGTCCGGCGGCGGTGGGGAGGCCCCGATACCCGCGGTAGGCAGGATTCCTACGCTGGAGCCTCCCGCTCGGGCACGCGAGGGGCTTTAGGAAGAGGATGAGGCGCCGCTGCCCTTTGCGGGAAGAAGCGTAGCCTTCGAGGGGGTGAGCCCGAGTCCCGCGCCCGAGTGCGTGTTTCCCACCTCCCAGGAGAGCGGTGGCTCCGGGCAGGGCGGGAGAGCGAGCTGCCCTGCACAGGGGCACGTCCCGCAGAGCGCCCGGGTCAGGGTCCCTCTGCATCAGGGCAGATGGATGGCTAGTGGCGCTCGCGTGAGGACACAGAGGTGCTCTAGCCCAGGGGAAAACAAAAATACTTGAAAGTGGTCTCAGGTCTCCTCAGTGAGAAGACCCACCGGCAGGTGCACGCCATGAGGGGCATCCCCAGCTTCCTAGGCCGGCCGAGGAGCTGGCCTGGCACCAGTTCATGCAGGTGGTTGCAGCTAAAGCAGAGCCGAAGCGAAGAACAAAAGCGCATCGGGGTGGAGGAGCTGCATAGGCTCCAGTTCACTGTGACCTGTTGGATCTCATCTTCTTTTATTTGATCCAGTCCAGTGGAAACACTGCCACTCAAAACAGCTGCCCTTCTGTCTTTTGCAAACGTTGCTGATGATGATTATTAAGTACTTGCCTCGTGTTTTAATGTTTTAATGTGATGCAAAATGGCAAAAGGAAATACGAACGGATCTATTTCAAACGTCTCTTTGTAAGCAACACGAATTCAAACAGTAATGAAGAATATTACATTTAGCAATTTCTGACTTAGGGCATTTGAGAAAAATTTAATGTACTTGGACTGTAAATTACTTCTAAATCTTAGAAGATTGTGTAGTGCAAGATATGTTTAGTAAGCTGAACAAAATTCAAGTATTTAAGTCTGATAATGCCTAAAAATAAAATGCTTCTTCACTGGAGTAAGAGATTTTATTTTGGAATAGTATCTCTAAACTAATAAATCTATCTCTAACTGACCAACACTATTTCTCTAAGAGTGAGAGAAATTTAAGGATAGCATAGTTTAAGTAGAAGGCAAAAAAGAAAATGGCAGATGTGTTTTGGGTGAAGAATACTATAAAATGGATACATAAAGCCTTCACCCGTGTTTCTAATCACTGGCTATTAAAACTAAATGTATTTTAATTTGTTATTTTCATCTTTGCTAATCTCCAATAATACTCCTCACTTGGAAAATGCCATTTTAGTTTTCTCAGTTTACCAGTTCTCTTTTACTACACTGCGATGTTTGATTTGGGAACACTTCAAATTTTTTTTGATGGGTTTCCACTGGAGGTTTTTCTAAATTAAATAGTCACAATAGGCAGTGCCTGTTTTTATTAAGTCTGTGCTTTGTAACTGCTGAATTTATCTCTTCTCCAGAGACAACTAGGTTTGCCTCTTTGTTGTGTTAGAGAATACAAGGTACTTGTTAAAGATTTACATGCGCAACAAAACCTGCCTGCAGGGAAGTCTGCTCCAAAGCCAGCAATAATGGCCTCTGAAATGGAGGTTTAAAATTCAGCCGGTTCTGTGTAGCATAGCATTACCAAGGTCTGAGTTCATAAGCAGGTCTGCCCTAGGTAGATCAGAGAGTTGATGAAGAATGTGTCATCACACTTCCAGGTTTCTATAACTTAGATTAAACTCATATATATGTTACTTTGTAAGACAAGGCTCCTAACTTCTACTGATCCGTAAGATCTAAGTGAATCCTACTATGCTGTGTTTAAGGGTCTGTATGAGACTATTGTGAACTTGTCCAGAAGCTGATGAGGGATTTTGCACAGTATTTGCATATAGATCCTGCAAGCATGTAGGCAGCTGCAGATTCTGTCCCATGCTAACATGGCAGAACTGTTCAATCATGTTATGGTTTAACTCCAGCCAGCAGCCAAGCCCCATGGAGCTGCTTGCTCTCTTCCCCACCAGTAGGATCTGGGAGAGAATCATAAGGCTAAAAGCTAGAAAACTTGTGAGTTGATATAAAACCAGTTTAATAGGGAAAGCAAGAGCTGTGCACGCAAGCTAAGCAGAACAAGGAATTGATTCACAGCTTCCCATGGGCTGGCAGGTGTTCAGCCATCTCCAGGAGAGCAGGGCCCCATCACAAGTAATGCTGACCTGGGAAGGCAAACACCATCACTTCAAACATCTAACTCTTTTTCCTTCTTCCCCACACTTTATATAGTGATTATGATGTCGTATGGTATGGAATATCCCTTTGGTCAGTTTGGGTCACATATGCTGCCTGTGTCTGCTCCCAACCTTCCACGCACCCCCAGCTTCCTTGCCAGTGTGGCAGTACAGAAAGCAGAAAAATCCTTGTCTCCGTGTAAGCCCTGCTCAGCAATAACAAAAACATCTCTATATTGTCAACCCTGTGTTCAGCACAAATCCAAAACACAGCCCCATACCAACCACTGTGAAGAAAATTAACTCTACCTCAGCCAAAACCAGGACAAATATTAATTCTTAAATGAACAGTAACCATTTCCAACCTGTGAATTCTCTCTTTTTCTTGCAGTGTTGCTTTGGCTTCAGAGCCAAATGTTCGATATTGATTCAGTTAACTTCTGTGATGCAGATGATCAGAAAGAAACACAAATAGGGCAGCATTCTATATTTTATTCCCAAAAATTATGTCTTTGTACTTCAGTAATTCCAAAAGGAATTATAAACAGCTGAAACAAAAATGAACTGCATCCAAACTACATCATGTGATTATGGCAAAACAGCTTGTGTCTCTAACTATGAGAAAACACATCCTTTAAATACAATGTCTGGATTTTTACAGGATTCTGCTTGATGCAAGACCTCTTCTTAGAAAAGAGCTTTCAGAGAAAAAGCTTATTTATATATGTGTGGGGGTGTATATATGTAGTTTGGAAAGGAGATGGGCTATGTTTCCTAACTATGATGAAACAGCTGTCTTTTTTGTTTATGCTGCAACAATCTGAATTACTGCATTTACTGAGGAAATTCCCTATTGTGTTTCAGGCTATCCCTATTGTGTTTTAGGCTATCCCTGTAACAACTCTTGGTCCTTTCCCACCTGTTTATTAAGTTTCAAACAAATGTGGCCAACGCTTACTTAGTTCTTCAGATGTATTGACACTAAAAGTACTTTGCTGATATAGAAACCCTGATACTAACCATCAGTGAAGTACATCCACTGAAAATGAAGCTATGCCAGCAGAGCTCTGCTTGCTAGCAAGATAGTTCCACAAGTTACATGGTCCCACAAATGGAATAAAGAACCCTGGTAAAAGTCAATGTAACTGCATACATACATGGTGTTTTATTAGCATCTTTAAGGGATCACGCACCCATACTGAGGTGGTCACGTTAGAAGAAGTCTGTATTAGGTTTAGCCAAAGAGGACATTGAGATAAGTTCTTACTGGTATTTTCAATTGACAAACAGGTTAGGAAGACATCTACAAAAAGGACAAAAATTAAGTTTGTAAGAACATGTACTCTTGTCGAAGATATTAGAAGTTATAGCTTCTGAAGGATTTGGGCAGAAAGCTTATGAGGAAATGCTAAGGCTGGGATTCTTTTCAGGAACAGGGAATAAGAAAGGAATGGGTCTAGAATCAAATACTTAAGTACTCTGTCCTCCTTATTGCTTCAAACAGAAAAACAATGTGCTTCCTCGCTTTGTTAGCTGTCAGATTATCCATTATATTTGTATCTTACTGAATTCAGTTGTGGATAATTTATGTATAAGATTTATGTAAAAATTAATATGTATTTATTCAAAATCTGTGAGGGCACACATCCATTTTTTTTGCCTGTGCATTTCACCCCCAGTAACATTACCATCCAGCAGCAGACGTTTATACAACCAAGGCCACTGTATCTGAACAGATCCACAAGGACCTGTGTGGAATTCATGAGAGGACTTGAGTTCAATGCATAATTAGTTATTACTACATTGTTTTGTCCAAGACACTAGCACTAATATCAGCATTAATCCAGCATTACCTAATCTTAAAAGGCCTCACTCCAGTGGAAGAAACTCCTTTTTCTTTCCCCAGAAGCATGGAATATTTAAAGTTTCAGAGAATCATTGAGCTAAGGTCATGAATGCATACTGCAAAGTAATGTGAAAAGGAAATGCAAGACAGTGCATGCAGCAGACTGAGAAAGGGACCAGATTGCAGAGGAATATGTACTGGAGAGTAGGCAGGGAGACAAAAAATAAGACATGTAAATTGGGAATGTGAAATAAGGAATAGCAAAGCAGCCGCTATCAAAAATAAATCATACTGTGACCACAATCAGTTAAATACAATTGAGCATGCATGAAAGTATTTAGTCTTTTCTAGTGTTATTCTTCTGTGTAAACAATTGCTGGAGCACTAAGAATGATACATACTTAATGAAAACAGGTGAAGGGTAAGATTTATTCTGTAAAACTGATGGACCTTATAATGATGATGAAAATTAGTAACTAAGAACTCTTTTTTTCAGTGTTCAAAACCAGATATGGTGTAATTTCCAAAATGACTTGATATGGCACATAGTCTAGTAAACAGGATTTAAATACTCTAATCCTAGTTCTGGAAAAGAAGGGCCACATAAAAAGCAAATGGTATGATGCTTCTGAGTTCTACTTGATGGAGAAGCCAGATACCTGTGGTCAGTGCTGTGTTCCTTCTAGATTACAGCTTCCAAAAGGAAGTCCTAGCTCAAGTAAGCATTATGACTGGAAGCCAGTGTAAGTCATGGCTGTGATTCATATTAGTACTGCAAACTACCAAGACGCAAAGTAGATCTCTTGATGAGCTGATCTAAGGCCCAGTGCTGCAGAGCTTTAGATTTCACGTAAGGTGTATCCCTGAGATAA